CTGGACCCCACCCCTGGCTGCCATGGGCCTTGGAGGAGGAAGGCCCTGGAATCAGCATTCCTGGGAGTCTGGGCAGGGCCTTATTTCCTGTGCGCTTAGGGGTGCCTCTCCTGTTGGCTCCCAGGCTGATGGACTGTTATTTGTGCTGTCGGGAGGGTCTAATTCATGTGCTTCTTTCTCGGGGGTGCCAATTATCCACACACCCACGTGAGCGGTACCTGACCTGTGTCCTTCCGTGTGGAGGTGTCTGTCACGTTGGGTGGTGCATGGGCTCCCAGGCCGGGGCTCAGTGGTGTCTCCTGCAGACGTGGACGAGTGTGCCCAGGCCTTGCACGACTGCCGCCCCAGCCAGGAGTGTCATAACCTGCCCGGCTCCTACCAGTGCACCTGCCCCGACGGCTACCGCAAGATTGGGCCTGAATGTGTGGGTGAGTCTGGGGAAGAGCCTCTCTGTCCCTGCTCCGTGCCCTTGGCCTGGCTTTCACCCTAGCACCTGACCCCCCCATGCCAGCTCACCGCCAGGCTCGACCCTCGTTCCCTGCCACCTCTGCCTTCCTGTCACCGGTCACAGGACTGTGAGGGTCTGTGTGTGCGTCCTAGCTGACCTGGCCCAACTCAGCCCTCCAGACCCAGGCGAGACTGTGGGCGGTGAGGCCTTGCGTGCCTGCTGACCTGTGCGCTCTGCCCCCTTCCCCCGGCCTCCCTCCCAGATATAGATGAGTGCCGTTACCGTTACTGCCAGCACCGCTGTGTCAACCTGCCTGGCTCCTTTCGCTGCCAGTGCGAGCCAGGCTTCCAGCTGGGGCCCAACAACCGCTCCTGTGTAGGTGAGGCTGGGCCAGGCCAGGCTCCTGGGCCCCGGGCAGGGCGGGGCGGGGCGCCGGAGCTCGCTTTCTGACCAGCCTAGGGAAACTGGGCCCTCTGGGCGGCTCCTTGGCTTTCCACCCCGTCTGGGTTTTTTTCTTCCCTGAATCCCCAGATGTGAACGAATGTGACATGGGGGCTCCATGTGAGCAGCGCTGCTTCAATTCCTACGGGACCTTCCTGTGTCGCTGCCACCAGGGCTATGAGCTGCATCGAGATGGCTTCTCCTGCAATGGTGAGAGGCCCCCCCGCCCCCGGGCTCCTCCACGGGCCTCCGAGGCCCTGTGTCATGCTGTGTTTCCTGCCACACAGTCCTCCATTTGATGCCTCCGTGTCCCATCCATTCTGCACCCACCTACCTCCTCTGTATTCCACCCCTGGCTGATTGCAGGGCACCTGCACACCTGCCCACCAGAACTCCCAGCCTGGGGTGGGGTTGGGAGGAAGGCACGGAGGGAAGCAGGAGGGAGCACTGAAGCTCAGAGGGGAGACTGGCAAAGGATGTGGGGGCTCCCCTCTTTGGGAGTCAGGTGGACCTGCATTCAAATCCTAGACTAGGGCCCGCCACTCTTTTGAGCCCATTTCTACTTCTGTAAAATGGGTTGTCTTGAGGATGGAGTGGGACAGAACAAGACAAGCTTCATCAAGTCCCAAGCCACAACGTTTTAAAGTGAACTACCATTTGTTGAAAACCTTCTCTGTGCAGCACATTTCCCTTACATACTTGGCCTCATTTAATCCTGCCAGCAATCCTATGATGAAAGTATGAATTTTTCCTTCCTCTGCAAAATGAGGATGGTAATGTCTCCCTCGAGGTTTTGGGGGGAGGGTTGTTAAAAGAAATAGTAAGCATAAAGTCCTTCAACGAGGAGAGGTTAAGTGACTTGCCCAAGGTCATACAGCTAGGGTGAGGTGGCACCAGGGTTCCACTCTGCACTTCTCACTCCTTGTCAGCTGGGCAGGTACCCTGTCTATGTTAGGCTTTGCTGCTCTACAGCCCCACTGGTACCCGGCTCGGTGCTAGGCAGCATGAAGGGATCCAGAGCAGAAACCGTGGCTCCTGCCTGTGAGCACGCAGTTGGCAGGAGGGGGCTGTATGCTTAGGCTGGTTGTGGGTTGCAGGAATTGGGCAAGTTACTGGAAACCGTAACAGGCTGGGTCCTTAAGGCTCGTCTAGTCTAACCCACTCATTTTATTGACAGGGACATTGAGGTTCCCCAAACTCAGTCAGGACTTAAAGCCAAGCCTCTAGATTCACAGTGCTTGCATTCAGTATTGTCTTGCTGTGCTGGGGCAGAGAGATCTGGGAGCTGGGCGGTCTGGGCAGACCTTTCTTTGAGTCCTCTGATCCCTCGCTGAGCTTTGCACGGTTTGTCTCACCCTGCTCTGTCTTTCCATACTGAGCCTAACATAGGGCCGGGCTCTCTCTGTAAACCTTTATGGGACTGAATTGAGAGGATCGCCTTCGGTCCAGAGCCCTCATCCACACTCTCCCTCAGATATCGACGAGTGCAGCTACTCCAGTTATCTCTGCCAGTACCGCTGTGTCAACGAGCCTGGCCGCTTCTCCTGCCACTGCCCGCAGGGCTACCAGCTGCTGGCCACGCGCCTCTGCCAAGGTACAGGGGGCCCCAGTGGGGCGCGTAGGGTGGTATCAGGGGCTGGTGGCCTGATGTCTGGGTTCCAGCCCCTTTCCCCTGACACAGACATTGATGAGTGTGAGTCGGGCGCGCACCAGTGCTCTGAGGCCCAAACCTGTGTCAACTTCCACGGGGGCTACCGCTGCGTGGACACCAACCGCTGCGTGGAGCCCTACGTCCAGGTGTCTGACAAGTGAGTCGTCGCGACGCCAGACCCCCCCCCGCAGAACCTGCGACTCCCAGAGGGCTCCGCGGCTGACGGGCTGCCATTCGGGCAGGCTAGTGCCTCGAGGGCCTATGGGAATTGTAGCCCTTCATGACAACCATGCGAACTGTTCTAGCAGGAGTGGGAGGATCTTTGGGGGATCCCTATTTTTAGGGGTGGGACCAAATTTGGGGTGTGGGCCAGGACCTCATTCGTGTCCCCATTTCGGGGTCTCTAGTCGCTGCCTCTGCCCGGCCTCCAACCCCCTGTGCCGGGAGCAGCCCTCGTCCATCGTGCACCGCTACATGAGCATCACCTCGGAGAGGAGTGTGCCCGCGGATGTGTTCCAGATCCAAGCGACCTCTGTCTACCCTGGCGCCTACAATGCCTTTCAGATCCGTGCGGGAAACTCGCAGGGGGACTTCTACATTAGGGTAAGGCTTTCCCCTAACTGCACCCCTCAACTGACATGCGTAATCCAAAATTGAATTCCAGGAAACCTTAAGTGGGAGACTCGGCTCTACCACCATGTCCCGCCTCTTCTCTCAAAGCCCCGCCCCCCGGGAGGTGGAATTTCTGTAGAAAGGTAGGGGTATTCTAAATTCCCTCGGTACAAACTACAGGTTGTTAAATGCAATTCTAACCAGGCACTTGGACACTGGGGTTTGAGTCCCTGCACTGGTTTCCATATGTGGCCTCAATTTCTTCACCCTTAGAACAAGGCACTGGCATGAGAGGCCCACCCAGGTAACAGACACAGCAGAATCTGGGGAAGGCAAGCAGATGGAGCTGGGCCTTGGAGAGAGAGGCAGCAGGGGTTGGTGTGGGGGGCCTGGGGTCCAAGAATCCAGCTCTCTGCTGGTGGAGCTATTAGGAAGGAGGGATCCAGGCATGATTCACAATGAGAGGGATCCAAGGGGTTTATCTGATATCAGTCCTTGTTTTCTCTTTCTGAAATTGGATGCTCTGAAGGGAAGTCTGCCTGCTCCAGGTCACCAAAGGCCCCACCACTCCCAAGAGTCTCCCACCTGGCCTTGAATCATCAGTTGACCCTGGTTAGACAAAAGAACTAGGTGGAAAGGGTGGGAAGAGCACCAGTGGGACATTTCTGAGGGCGGGAGCCTGGGTGCACCAGAGCCAACATGTCAAGGGTATCACAGAGCCGGATGAGAGCCTGAGGTCACAGCCTGGTGGGCTCTCTACTTCACAGCCAACTGCTTGTGGGTTCAAGATACGGGACAGGGAGGTGATGCTGGGGCAGGGTCTTGGCATGTAGGTTGATGCAATCTACGTGTCCCCCCACCCACTGTACCCTGCAGCAAATCAACAATGTCAGCGCCATGCTGGTCCTCGCCCGGCCTGTGACGGGCCCCCGGGAGTACGTGCTGGACCTCGAGATGGTCACCATGAACTCCCTCATGAGCTACCGGGCCAGTTCTGTACTGAGACTCACCGTCTTCGTGGGGGCCTACACTTTCTGAGGAGTGGGTGGGGAGCCCTCAGGGAGGGAGAGGCTTCCTGCAGCCGAAGAGCTTGGGGCTCAGGGATGACTGTGCTCGCTGCAAGGGCAGATGCTGTTGTGAAGAGTAGAAAGAGAAAGGCAATAAAGGGAGAAAGAAGGAGTCCTGGTGGCTGAGGTGGGTGGGTAACGCTGTAGTGAACCCCGGACGGGGGGAAGGGGCCAGGCTGTGGGAGGCGGGCCAATCACCTAAAGGCGGAGATGTCTCTGTCCAGGCTCAGGGGGCGCCATAGTAGGAGCTGGGAACTGCATCCCCAAGGCTGGGATTGATCCACATACCATGCACATCGGAATCACTTTGAGAAGGGACGTAAGAAGGCTGCAGACTCCAGGACCCAGCCCAGGAATTGGGGTTTGACTGGTTTGTGGGGGACCTAGGAAACCCCATGGTAGACAGTGGAGGCCTTGGGTTTCAATTCCAGCTTGTCCTCAATTTGGCTAAACCCTAGTAGCTTCCTGGGCCTCAGTTTTCTAATTCATAAAACGAGGCAATTAGACTAGGAGCGCTTTCCAAACATTTCTTTTCCAAAATACAGAACCTGTTATCAAAGGAAATGTTATTTGATCAGGAACTCTGATGACATAAACTAGATTCAAAGTTGCAATGCCTCACTGACTCCCATCTCCCTGGATGGTATCAATGCTCCCCCAGGGAACCCGAGTCCTGAGGAGCTCAGTTTAAAAACCACTGGACCTGCTGGTCTCCCCAGTTCCTGCCTGGATACTTCACTAGGCCGCTGGGGCGTGGCATCACCTCCATAATACATAAAGCTGCAAATACTTATATTTTTATTGTAGCCCAACAAATTCTGATTAAAAGGCTGGCTAGCCTGTGAAGGGGGGGGAGGTGGAGTCAGCCTCGTGGCACAACTCAGGTCAGGGGGCCATAGCAGCAGTAGAGTTGGGAGAAGGTCCTGCTCAGAGCGGGCCCCAGATTCCTGCACAAAGAGAGAGGCAGGTGAGGGTCAGGCCGTGGGCCAGAGCACCCCAGCCTCAGCCACTCCCTCTGGGCTCTTTTCCTTGCCGTCACCTCTGCAGTTGGCCACACTTGATGGTGCTCAGCAGCATGTCCTGTTCCTTGGGGGTGGCACAGGCGTCATAGGCGGCCAGTAGGCTGGGGGTGGGGTGGGGTGTTTGAGTTTCTAAAGCTTGACAATAGCACACAGCTGGCCCACTCTGGGTGGCTGGGCCACCATCAGGGGAGACAGGCAGAAGGGGTCAGCATGGGGTAGGGGAGTCGGGACCGCTGCTGCACTTCCTGAGCCTGGCATTCAAGGCCCTATTCCATCCAGCTCACTATCCCTTCATGCAGCAGCAAGTGTTCTCCAGGTATGGCTATTCTTGGCCCCATCTTCATGGCCCAACCCCCTCCTCCAGAAGCCTTCTCTGCTGCACCAGGCGGCAGGTCCCCCTCCCTCCTGTAGCCTCCCCTAGTGGCTGAGATCCTGTCTGGTCCGTTTGGTCTGAGCTGGCTCTGTCTGCCCTACCACCTGACCTCTGTGACCTCAGTCGGGTCTGTCCAGCCCCGGCAGGGCCAGACCCCTCCACAAAGCATAGGTATAGCTGAATTCCACGCAGGCAGGGCAGGGGCAGAGGGCCCCCGAGGAGCTCTGTGGGGGCCTACCTGGCAGGGGTGCCGTACTGGTCCACTATGGCTGCTGCCTTCTCCCCACTCACCCCGCGCACCTGCATCAGCTGCCGGGCGAACACCTCCCGCACAGACTGGGCCTGGGATGGGGGAGGACTATCAGGAGTGGGCCGGGGCTGGGCCGCATGAGGAGGCACTGGGTGGAGGCAGTACCTTGTTCTTGATGGCTCCTGTGTTGAAGTCACTGAAGGTGAGGAGTGAGCAGAGAGGATTTGGGGAGGACCCAGGCCTTGATTCAGGGTCCCCTGAGGGTCCCCAGGGGCGACTGCGGAGGGTATGGCCCTGAGGGAAGAGGGAACTGAGGCCAGGACAGAGCTCTCGGGGACCAGCCCCAGCAAGTCCTTGCCCGATCCTAGGCCTCTGTGGGCCAGCCTGAAAAACAGGGCTCTTGCTCACTTCACTTCCTCGTGGGGAGCATAGGGCCCAGGGACACGAGCGCCTGCTCACCTGGTAGAGTCTCTGCAAGCCCCGAGTCAAGAGGGCCAGATAAGCAGCTGACTCCTTAATGTCCGCCGTGCGCTTCACAAAGAAGCCATCGATGACCTGGGGAAGAGGAACCCACCCGAGAGAGGAAGGGGACTCCTGGCTGGAGCCGTGGACCGTGGGGTCCCTACCAGCCTGGCCTGGCCCTTTTGCCTCACCTGAGTGTTGGTGACAGCCTGCAGCAGCGTGCTCTCAGGAAGGCTGAGGTGGTCCGCTGAGCCATGCTTCTCCACCAGGTACACGCGGTGGCCCAGGCCGCAACGCTTCAGCCGGAACTGGGGTGGCAGGCAGGGGGGTCAGGCCTGGAGGCCCATGGGCCAGCTGTCCATTGTGTCACATTCAAAATCATCACGGGACCCTGGCCCTACCAAGCCACCTCCTCATCCTCCCTAGCTTCTCTGCCTGTTTCAGAGGGCCTTCACCTTTGCTCACACTGTTATTACCGTTGCGCGGAAAAGCCTTACACCATCTCTGAATGATGTCCGTTCTCCAAACCTCTCGGCCTACACATGGCATGACTCTACGGTCAGCCCAGCAGCCAGTACCTACACTGAGGTCTGCGTCTTGCTTATCCCAGACTGGAGGGCCTGGCCACCCAAGGGGTCTCGACTATGCTGCTCAGTCCAGCCCCGTCACCCTGCGCACCTACTGTGCACCTGCAGGGGCCCTGAGGGGTCTGATCTTGGGGCTGCCTGGGTGCAGCTCTGACGGGGGTGTGGCCATGGGAGCTCTGCCTTGAGGCCAGCCCGAAGTGCCGTGGACACCTCTGGGCCGCGGAGGAGCCCTAGGGCAGACAGGGAATGGGGAGCACGGCGAGGCCAGTCTAGGAACCTTCTGCTCGTGGAAGCGGCCATCTATGATGCTGCTACACAGGTCGTCCAGCCGCTTGCGCTCCACGATGTGGTCCAGGACGAGCTCCCCAGGTCTTGCTGCCGGGAGGCCAAGAAAGGTTCTGCTGGCTTGAGTCCTCCCCGACCCACCAGGCCCTGCCTCTGATACCCGCCCTCTGTCCACACCCCTTACCTGGGTCTCTGGGCCTGGTCTCTTGAGCCACCCACACAAAGTCCCCGACGTGTAGCCTGCGCACTGTGTGGGTCACACGCAGCCGCTGTAGCTCAAGGAGCAGCTCTGGCCTGTGCCCCGCCCTGCAGTAGTGAGACAGGAGACCCAGATCAGGGCAGGCCCCTGTCACCCCCCCACCCCAGCATCCTCTCCTTTGCTCTTCACCCCCACTCACCCCTTGGCTTCGCCAACGTCCACACACAAGAGCACCCTGTACTCTCCAGGCCCAAGCGCCAGTGGCGGCTGCTGGACACTCCCTTCGCTGGCGCCACTACAAGGGGGAGAGGGGTGTTGGTGTGTCTGAGGCCAGAACATCAGGGTCAGGCACTTACCCCCCCCTCCCCCGCAACCCACAGTGGGTGGGGCAGCTCATCTGTAGAGGATGGGGACAGGGCTGGCCTCATTTCTGGGACCCCTTTTGCTCCCGTCATGCCCCTCCCCCTCCTCCTCACAGCTCAGCAGAGGCTGCTCCTGGCACTTCTGGCTCCTCCCCAGGGGGCTGCTCTGGCCCGATGTCCACATTCAGTGAGCTCAGGCCCTCTGGCTCAGCCAGCTTCTGGGCCAGCTCCAGACCCTCCGGAGTCAGTGAGTACCTGGTAGGTGAACACAGATCTCCCTCTTTCACTCGTACCTGGCAGGCTCTCCTGCCTGCCCCCAGCTCGGCTGCTCTCACCAGCCTTGGCGACCCTTGCACAAACAAGTCACCCCCAGGCTGTGTTCTCGCTCCTCAGATCAGCCTCCTTTGGACCTGCCCAGGGACATTTCTCAGTCTGCAACAAGCACGTCTCAGATCACCTTTCCCTCCTCTCTGGCGTGCTCCTCCTACATCTCTCCCTCCTAAATTCTAAGACGTGTCCAAACGCCGTGTCCTCAGCAAAGCTGTTCCACTCTTCCAATAACCTGTGGCACCCTCTCCTACCCCCTACCTACTGCTTGGTCTCTCAGATCCTCTTGGCACTCCCCCAGTATGGGCTCCTGGGAGTAAGGCCTCCCTTCCCACACCCATCTCAACAGCACGAGGCCTGCAATTTGCTGGGTGACTGTAGGGCCCCACTCAGAACGTCATGCACGTTCTCTCCCCCCCCACACACTGCCTGCCCCTGTAGCTGACCCCACCTGGCTGGCCGGTGTGTCCTGAGAACCAGGTTCCTGTGGAGGAGGGAACGGAGGGCTGGCCAGGGTCGAGTACTCCCAGGGGCCACCTGTCCATAGGGGAGGAGATCCTTAGAAAGCTCCTGGTGCTACCATAAGTCCAACTCCCTGGGCCCCAAACCACTGCTTGCTTCCAAGAAGTGTCTGGTGGGCTTAGGGTCTGATCCACAGCTCCATTCTTTCACTCGGCTCCACCTCTCCCACCTCAGGGCTCACCGTGGGAGCTTTCTGGGCACACCTCTGCAGCAGCTCTTCCTTGGTTAGGAAGCCGTGGCCACTAGAATTCTGTAACCAAGGCAGAAATGTAACCAAGGGAGTGTCAGTGCTGGGGCTGACCTCTTCCAGGAGCCTCAGGCCCCACTGCCTGGGTGCTCCTGACTCCTGGGTTGGCCACGTGCTCACCAGGTGCTCCCTGTAGAGCAGCAGCAGTACCCCGCGTGCGCCCGAGTGCCGAGCCGGCCAGTAGCTGCCCGAGCCCCCTGCTTTGGGCTGGGCTGGAATCTGAAAGATACACCGAGGCTTTGGACACAGAAACCAATCAGCTATCGTGGACTGAATCCCTGGCAGGGCTGAGGGTCGGGTTCTGTCTCGGCAGGCTACATGGCCCTGAACAAGTCCCCCAGCCGCCTCTCGGTTTCCCTACCTGGAAAATGGGTCAGATGATGAGGTGACCTGTAAACCTGGGCTGAGATGGCGAGAGGGTTGCAGGGGTGGGAGTGGGGCGAGGGGTGTAGTCTGCCTGACCCAGCCTCAGTTCTACCATTGGCTGCAGAACAGAGGTGGTAAGGCAAGAAAAGCCAATAATAGCAAACCTCACGACTTACTGGGCTTGGCCCCTTAAATAGCCTGGTCATGGAACTCTCACCTGACTCTACTATCATTCAATATCTCCATCTACAAAGAAGAAAACTTGAGTACCAGAGTAAGTCATTTGCCCAAAGCCAGGCCTCCTGGTGGCAGATCTGGACCCAGGCCTGCCAAGTCCCCCAAGCCAGAAAATCTTACTCCCGGTGCTCCCACTTTCCTTTTCACTGCCCTCGCCCACTTCTCACTGGCTTGGAAGAGTCCTGGACTCTGGCAAGGGGCCCTTCCCGGGCTGGACTCTTCTCTCCAGATGGTGAACTCGGGGCATGGTCACCTGCGGGAGCAGAAGAGAGTCAATGCCACGGAATCCAGCAGGCGGGAAGGTCTGGAACGCTGCCAGCTCCCGTGGTAGGTGAGAGGGGAGAGATTCGGCAAGCCAGCCACTAGCCTGAGGTCAAACAGCAACTTGGACGCGAGTGGGGAGCCTGAAGCTAAGGTATCCCAGATGGTTATGGAGGCTGCGCCTGGGGGAGGCTCAGGGGACCACCGACCCTGACTCTGGCGCTCACCGCCTGATGCTTTGTGCTGCTGCAGCCGCTGGTCCAGCATACGGCAGAGCCTGTCTCCGAAGTGCTGTAGAATCTTAGCTTCCTTGCCGCTGCGCAGAGGCAGTGGGTACCGCCGGAGGGAGCGCAGGGCCTGGTGGGGGCAGGGGTACCGTACTGGGTCAGGGTGGGCCTGGTTGTCTGGCTCCGCCCGCACCTGTCCGCGTCGAGCCGGGACCCACCTTCTGAAACACGAATTGCGTGCGGCGCCCCCTACTGGCTGCCTCGTCCCGCCATTCGGTTAGCCAGCGTACGAAGAGCGGGTTGGGGCAAACGGGCAGCGGGCGTTTCCGGCCCAGGCGGACCGGCGCTGCCATTAGCCTCAGGGCGGGTCCTCTGGCGCCTCGCGCCGACCCGACTGGGACGCCGCCAGTTCTGGAGACGGGATTCGAACACCTGGCTCGGGAGGGTGAGGGCGGGACCTCTCCAATCACGTGGCCCCACGCGGGGGACTAACTAGAGAACAACCTCCTGCTGCCCTCCCCGCCCCTGCACTACTCTAAGTGGTCGGTGCCGAGCACTTTTTCTCCGGCCTTCACCCTCTCGCCCCTCCCGGCCCAAACCAGTCTTTTGGACTAGCCCCACCCACACCCCCACACCCCAGCCTTGATCCGCCCCTTCCTCCCATCCCAGATTCGAGTGCGGGGTCCTCTTTGTGCGGGACAGAAAGCCGACAGCGCCCCCGTGTGGCTTGGAGGGCTGGCTGGGGGTGGTGCTTAATATCCAGGAACCTGAGGCTGTCAGTTTCAGTCTCACCTTTGCTGAGGATGCTGGAGAGCGACTGGGCTTCTGAAAAGCCCAAGAGGTGGGGGGGGAGGGGGAATGAGTGCAGGTATATTTGTAGGAGGGACATCTAGAAAGGGGTACTGGGGATGAAGGTACAAAGGTAATGTAGGAGGACCTAAAGGACTCTCCGAAGAAAAGGTGATCCCGAGCTGGGGTGGTGGGAGCGGGGCGTGGAGATCCAGCAGTGGAGGAGGGGCGCGAAGTCGGGGACATTCAGGGAAGGCCAAAGCTAGGAGGACGGAGGGAACAGAGGACAAGTAGAAGGGGGACAAATGGGAGGTGCTGGGCCAGAGGGCGGGGGGGGGGGGTCTAAGATGGGCACCTGGTTAGATTCAGGGGCGTTAAGAGCCCGGACGAAGGTGGAAAGGGAGAACACATAGTCATTTGGAGGTGGGAGACCCTCAAGGAGGTTTAGGTTTAGGATTATGCAGAAGGGTCCCAGGTTGAGGGACACGTACAGCCGAGTTCGGCTCCAGGATCTCGCCAGGGAGTTACATTCTCCCCCAGCTGTTTTACCGAAGTCGCGAGGAGCTAGTCTGGGGCCTTCGAGGAGCGGAGAGGCGGGAACTGCAGCTCCAGGCCCGCCCCTCCAGACTCCGCCCAACAGCGAACCCGTCCCCGCCCCCCCCCCCCCCCCCCCCCCCCCCACCCCCACCCCCCACCGAGCCAGCTTCGAACTCCCGCCTCCCTCCCGAGGCTGCCTTATAAGGAGCCTGGAGCGGGCGTTCGGGTTGGCCCCACCCCCTCCAGTCTCTTGTCCTAATAAGGACATCTAGGGCATCCCGTGGCTAGGGGCGGGCGGGAGCGTGTCTCCAGGGTAACTTCGAAGTCTCTCTCCCCCTCCTCGTTACTCTTGGAAACTCCGAGGCTTGAAAAAAGGGGAGCCAGTCTCCTTTTCTGGCAGGGTCGCTTACCCGGCTGTGGGTCGAGCGGCGGCCTCCACCTGGGGCTCCCGGGAACTCGGTTGGTGGGCGGTGCAACGGGATGTCCCTGACTACAATCCCCGGCATGCCCTGCGATGTGCCCCACTACCAGTCTTGAAGACCAGGCTTCCAGCTCTTCATTTACGCTCTTCAGCTGATGGGACCAGTACTCCCAGTTCCCTTGTTGGCGATTCTGTAGTGTCTTTCGGCAGAGCCGAAGGCCTTGGTCGTACTGCGAGGCCAACGAAAACTTCCCGTAGTCCCCACCCGTTTCTTTTTTTGAAACTTAGGCTAACACAGAGCTGTGTCTTAATTTTTCCGTGTTTTAAGTTAACTGTATGCCTGGCTATCCACTCGAGAACATGATTCAAGTCTGGTTTAATATCTATTTCTTCTTTTCAGTGTGTTTAGTAAAAGGCACACAATCTTTGAATTGATCGCACAACCCCCTGCCCTTCTCCATTTTTCGTGAATTTGCCAGACATCTTTAAAACAAGGACAAAGCTCTATCTTTTAAAGACTTCCTTGTAGCCTTTCTCTTGTGTTTTTTCTTCTTACTCTAATTTTACTGAAGTTGCATATGGCCTTTTCTCAGGAGACGAGTGGCTTTGCACATGAAGGGTACTCAATGAATTGTTTATCGGGTTGAAGACACTTTACACTTGTGATTCTCCTTGCTCTATCTAGGACTAGATTCCAGGCCAATAAATAGTTGCTTCAATTCAGAAAAGCAAAACACTAAACTCGGAATTTTCAGACCAGAACCTGCCAAAATAGATCTTAGGAAACAGTTTCGCCGCGGCTGAAGAACGGCGAGGTCGAGGGCTCATTTTTGGGTCACATTACCTAGCGCGGGGGGGGGGCCTTTGCTCAGCTGAGCGTTTCCTGGAAAATTCGACCAATGGGCGCGCTCTCCGTGCCATGGCCCTAGTCCCTCTTGGCTGTCTCGGACTACATTTCCCAGCATGTAACGTGGCGCTGGGAGGCCGGCTGGCGAAAAAGACTTCGTTACCCAGTGAGCACGAGGACGGCGCAGGACCCCTGGACTTCATTTCCCGTCGGCCCATGGGGGGAGCGCCGGAAGCCCGCCCCGCCCCTCATTGTGCGGCTCATACTAAACGGAAGGGGCCGGGAGAGGCCGCGTTCAGTCGGATCCCGGCAGCAGCTGCAGCGGCTCTCATCTCTTCTGACTCTCCTTGCTATCTCTCTTTCGCTTCCGGAAACATGGTGAGCAGCAGGCCTTGGCGACTGACGGGAGGGGGCTGCGAGTCGGTCGTCTGAGCGCAGGGGAGGGAACGGTGGAGCGACGTCGGCACCCCCTCCCCCAGCGCCCCGGGCGGGATGAGGGTCTCGGGCTGAGGGGCGGGCGGCGTTGGGACGCGCGTGCGCGCCCGCGGGCGCTGGAGAGGGCTGGCTCGGCCGTAGCTCGCGCGCCCCCTGGGCTCCCTTCCCCTCCCCCACTGCGCTGCTGCGCCCGCGCGGACACCGGCTATGGGGGAGGGGTCCGTGGCGCGCGCGCGCCCGCCCCTCGCGGAGCAGCCGGTGGCGCGCGCTGAGGCAAGTCGGTTCACGGGGGCGCGCGTTTTACGGGAGCACGCGGCATCCGAACCCGGCCCGAGGGCGGCGAGGGAAAAGCGCGCGAGCGGTCTCGGCGCGCGCGCCCCACCCAAGGGCTGTTCCTGTCTCCGCGTCACCCTCCCTCGGCTGGCGGGTCTGTAGAGAGCAGGTGGCAGGGATGTCTGCGCCCAGGAGGGGCGGGGGCGGAGGGCCAACGGAGATGCGGGGGCGGAGGGGTCCGAGTGCTAGCGCTGGGGATTAAGGGCTTGCACCGCGCCACCCGGAACTGCGGGTTTGCACCGCGGAGGTTACGGCCCTGCGAGGGAACCCACAAAGCGATCTGGGTTCTCTGCTATGTGCATCCGGCAAAGGCTGGAACGGCACAGTCGGCCGGCGCGTGCGCACACGCTCAGGCCCCCGCCGCTGGGCCGAAGCCCTGGACAAGCGGGGCCTTCGGCTTTCCCGGATGGGGCCTGAGGGTGGAGCCGAGTTTAGGGAAGTGACCCAGGCAGGCATCGCCCGGAAACCACCCCGCCCCCTGTGTTCGGCCCCAGGGCTACGAGAACTGAGGGTTGTGTAAATCGTCCAGGCTCCGGCCGGCAGCGGAGGGGGCTGATGCGCCTGTCGGTAAAGGTGATTCCTCGGGGTTGAGGCTCTGGGGTGCTACTGCCTCCGGGTACTGCTTTCTCCCGGACGGGGCAGGGGCAGGGCCCGGGCGAGCGCTTTTCCCCCCGCCTACTCCGGAAGCGGCTGAGTCACGTGGCCGGCTTCCTCTGCAGTTCCGGGAGCGGGGGGCGCGGCAGATTTCACTGTGGACTGTAGCCCCCCTCCTGGCTAGGGTGTCCCCCCAACTCGACCCAAAACAGACGTTTAAAGAGCTCTCGAGGACCGTGGGTATTTGGTTCTGACCTGCTAACTTATGTCAGCGATCTTTGAGTCCTACATTTTCTGCGGAGGACGGGGAGTTAATGGGTTAGGGCTTTAATTAGGGATCGTGATTCTTGCCTTGAAGAAGACCCCAGCAAAGAAGAGGGCGGTTTGTGAACAACTGCACTGAGTAGTTCTGATGGACTTAACGAGAACTGTTAAACTCGTTGGTGTCTTGTCTACCATTGTGGGGTCCTGTTCTCCTTCCAGAAGAGGTGGTTATAACCTGGGTGCTTTGAGTCTCTCTTTCTTGTGAAGTTTTGAGTCAGCACTATTATCCAAAAGCTGAGATGCAGTACTGTGAGTAAGAAACGAGTCAGTAGGGTGCCTGGGTGGCTCAGTTGGTTAAGCAACTGCTTTCAACTCAGGTCGTGATCCTGGAGTCCCTGGATCGAGTCCTGCATGGGGCTCCCTACTCGGCAGGGAGTCTGCTTCTCCCTCTGACCCTAACCCCTGTCATGTGCTCTCTCTTATTTTCTCTCTCTCAATAAATAAAATCTTAAAAAAAAAAAAAAGAAAAGAAACGAGTCAGTAGCCTATGGATTCTTTTAATTCTGGGCTCACATCAAAGCCAAGGTTCTGCTTCTTACAGGTCCTCAGTTTCTAGGCTGTAAGATGTTGGGTGAGGAAGAATGATGTTGAATTAGATGATTAGAGGTTCTTCTAAGGCTGCCATTCTGGGGTTTTCTCATTTGGTCCTTGGACAGTGGCTTGGGTGGGAAAATAGTGACACTTGGCTTGGGAAGGGGAAGTGATGATCTCTTGGTTGAGGACTTGTTGGCATCCAAGATGGATCTCTTAAGATTACAAAGGCGGGATTTCAGGGGGAGTCCCAAAGTCTTCTTTTATGAAGTATATGTGGCTCGTCCCTAGGCCTCCGGCGTGGCGGTCTCTGACGGTGTCATCAAAGTGTTCAATGACATGAAGGTGCGCAAGTCCTCGACACCAGAGGAGGTGAAGAAGCGCAAGAAGGCGGTACTCTTCTGCCTGAGCGAGGACAAGAAGAACATCATCCTGGAGGAGGGCAAGGAGATCCTGGTAGGTGATGTGGGCCAGACTGTAGACGACCCCTACGCCACCTTTGTCAAGATGCTGCCAGACAAGGACTGCCGCTATGCCCTCTATGACGCAACCTATGAGACCAAGGAGAGCAAGAAGGAGGATCTGGTGTTTATCTTCTGGTGAGCTCCCCTGCGGGCGCTTCTTCCTACCACTTGCCCTGGCTCTGCCTCTCCCTCCTTTCTCAGCATGGGAACCTCTGTGAGTTTGGGGGGAGGGTGTTGTAACAAAACACTTGTCAGTGGGGAACTTGGTCAAAGCTTGAGTGTGGGGACCAGCTCAAGGATTTCTCGAAGTGTTCTCTCACTTGAGGGCACTTGCAGACTCGGAGAGGGAACTTTGTTGCATATTCTCTGATTGTCTTCCCTCCAGGGCACCTGAGTCTGCACCTCTTAAGAGCAAAATGATTTATGCCAGTTCCAAGGATGCCATCAAGAAAAAGCTGACAGGTAAGGGCCAGCATTGGTGCCACGCACTTCTTCGCTTAGGCTTTGGCTGTAGGGTGGGGTGAAAGGCTTGGTATATGAGATACCTCCCCCCTCCTCTTCCCTGCCTGCTGGAAGGTAACCTTGTCCTTTCCATCTGTTCTGATTGGCTCCTTCCCAGCCCCAACTTCCCCTCCCCCAGTGCATCCTGCTCACAGATGCTCCCCTTCTTCCTCACAGGGATCAAGCATGAATTACAAGCAAACTGCTACGAGGAGGTCAAGGACCGCTGCACCCTGGCAGAGAAACTGGGGGGCAGTGCTGTCATCTCCCTGGAGGGCAAGCCTTTGTGAGCCCCCTCCAGCCCCCTGCCTGGAGCATCTGGCAGCCCCAGACCTGCCCATGGGGGTTGCAGGCTGCCCCCTTCCTGCCAGACCGGAGGGGCTGGGGGGATCCCAGCAGGGGGAGGGCAATCCCTTCACCCCAGTTGCCAAACAGCCCCCCCTCACCCCCTGGACCTTCCTCCTCCCTCCACCCCTGACGGTTCTGGCCTTCCCAAACTGCTTTTGATCTTCTGATTTCTCTTGGGTTGAAGCAGACCAAGTTCCCCCCAGGCACCCCAGTTTGGGGGGGCCTGTATTTTTTTTAACGACACCCCAATTCCCCACCTGTTCCTCCCTTTTCCCATGCTGCCAACTTCTAACCGCAATAGTGACTCTGTGCTTGTCTGTTTAGTTCTGTGTATAAATGGAATGTTGTGGAGATGACCCCTCCTTGCGCCGCCTGGTTCCCCTCCCCTTTTCCCCTGGTCTTGGCCACCCATGGAAGCAGGACCAGTAAGGGACCTTCAATTAAAAAAGAAAAAAGAAAAAAAACCACACACACAACAATAAAAAGGCTCACTAATGGGATGTTTGTTTCAGGGTCGGGGCCCAAGGGACCTTGCAGGGGAAGGTATGCTGAGATAATGAACAGCATCTTTTCTCTATACCCAGCTTCCATCCACCCCCTTAATTTGGCCCTAGCGACTGGCTGAGCCTCTTTCTGACAGCTGTCACTCATAGGTGGTACCACAGTTGGGCCCAAACTGACCGCTGGGGAGTTAGGTGAACTGGGGTGTGTGTCCTGCCAGCTGCAAGAGCCCTTTGGGCAAAAGGGGCTTTGTGCCTGAACTCTTTTCTCCTGGAGCCTCTTACCCGGGTGGGCAGCTGGGCAGTGAGGCCTATTCTCCAACCCTATGCTCAGGCCTGCCTAGTGTGGGCTGTGAGATTGCAAGTTACAAAGCGCTTCTTGAGCTGTTCTGTCTTCAGGGTTCTTTCTGGTTTTTCTCTGCCTTCTTTCATGGATGTCTGACTCATCTATGAGGGCCGAGTCCAGTGGCTGCTGTGAGTCAGAAGCCAATGAGCCTTTGGCCTTCTGCAGATGTGACTGGAGTCCAGGGTGGGGCCAAGCCAGCTGGAGCCCAGGACTTCAGACCGGAGTGTCTTGGGTCCCACCTCCCTGTGTTTAACCAAGAGGGTGTTGGCTAGAGCCCCAAGCCTTTTGTCAGTATTGCTGCAGGCTCTCTCCAATCTACATTGGGTTTTTGCCTGCCTGGGAGGTAAAGGTATCCTAGAAATCGCACCCTAAGGGTGTGAATGCAGGGTTTATTACATACACACCCCAACCTGAACTGTTGGCTGGGGGAAAGCCTGTTAAACTTGGTTCCTTAGTTCTTTGGAGCTTGCCAGTATCTCTAAGTGGAAAGCAGGAAGAGTAGTTATTTTTGACACTGCGGCGGGTGGTGCACAAGTGTCCGGTGTCCATAATGCCCTGGGTAAAGGTGTACCTGGTGGGTCCTGGAGCTGTGGGAAGTAAGGACAAGCAGGCCTCCTTGCTACCAAAAGCAGGCTTTTTATTTGTGAACAGGCTGGGGACAAACGAACTTTGGGGGGGGTGGGGAGGCGCAGAGGGTTGCTGGGGGCAGCCTCTCAGATTCCAGGAGAGGTGGGAGGTCCAGGCTCCTGGCCTCCCCTAGGTTGGGGTTCTTACCTGTGGCCCAAGTATGGTACCCATGTTGCCCTAGCTTCCTCTTGCAGGACCTGGCACTTTTGGGTGGGAGTGGGGCTTGGGCTTGCCCTGGGAGATCATGGGGCATGGCTAATAGCTGCTGTGGTTGGGGAGGTGGTATCTTGGGGTAGGGAATCTGGGGGACTTTTGCCAGTAAAGGCTCTGAAGTAGGCTCTGGCTGCACTAAGGGTCCCCCTTGAGGGCGACAAGGGTGTTCCGGAGAAGCAGGGTGCTGGCCTGCAGAGGAGAGAGGTCTTGATGTCCCTGGCCCACTGCCAGCCTGCTGCCTGATAAAATGTGCTGTTCTTTCCACACCTATTAACTCCTGCCCTCCTCCCTCTTGCATCCCTGTCCTTAGCAATAATAGCTGCCATTTATTGAGGGCTTAATGATGAGAAGGGAAGAGTCCTGGTCCAAGATTGGACATGACCCTGAAAGTCAATGGGGACTGCTCAGGGATGCCAGACCACCTTCCCCCAACACGTTTGCCAGTACTTGGTAAGAACCTAGAGGTCTGGGAGTGGATGGCAGGGAGGCAGCAAGAGGGCACAGTGAGGGTGGAGGGCTCACCTTGGCATGTTTGAGCTCCAGCTCTGCCAACTCTATGAGGTTCTTGCGGAAGGAGGAGACACGGCGGGACTTGAAATCCATGAGCTCTGGTGGGGAGGGAGGAGAAATGGGGACCCTGGCAGGGTAGGCAGCCCAGTGGCAGGGGCTCTGGGGCCATGGGGCTTACCCTGCTTGGCTGAGTCCGAGAGGCGCTCAAAGCGTTGGCAGCACTGTTGTTGGTGGCTCTCAGCAGTCCGCACCTCCCGGTTCCTAGTGCGTGCCTTGTCCAGTGCTTTGTTGGCGTTCTCATAGTCAGCCAGTGCTCGAAGCCGCCGGTACAGCAGGTCCTGGGGCCAGCAGGGGCACGGGATCACTGTTGCCCATTGCCTCATCTGCCTGCCCTCCCCTGTTGCTCCAGTCCTGCTGTCCTCCAGCCCTGAAGTTTGTTCTGGGGCCATAGCTCACCTTGGCTGCCTGTGAGTCTCGCATGTAGTATCTCAGCATGTCTGACAGCTTGAGGTCCTCATCAGATGCCACTCGGCCCTCCAGCTTCTGAATCGAAATTTGGAGGCTGGGGAGGGAACTTGCAGAGGAGCTGCCAAGGGCTGGTGTGCTGCTGCTCATCTCAATATCCAACAGAGTCACTTGATAAACACTCTAGGTCAAACCCTGATGTTCAGGGGAGCAGGCCAAGGAAAACTTGACAGAAGAGTGGCATCTGACCTGGATCTTGGGGGTTGACTAGGAATCTGACAACAGCCAAAGGCTCTGCAGGTGTGCAAGCCTCGTATGTGTTCAGGGAGCCGTGAGGTCAGTGGGAGCATTTGGATGGCAGTGGCTGGATTCCAAAAGACCTAAAATGTAAGCTAAGGACTTTGGGCTTTGTGTTTTGGGTAGTTCTGGGAGGGGCAGGGTCACTGAAGGCCCTTGAGAAGAGAGGTGGTCCAGCAGACATTTTAGAAAGATTGGCACACTGAGTGACTCTCGGAGAGGAGTTCAGGAAGTATGTGTCTGGGGCAGGGTGTTGGCAGTGTGTGCAGCCTGCCAGAGGCACGTGGCACATCCTTGTAAATGGCTTGCCAGGCCTGGTTCCCACCCCTGCCCCCATCACTGCACACACACACACTTGAGGCTGGATCCCTGTCCACCCTCCATCTCATTTAACTACGGTTTAACTGAGGGTGAGTCCAGGGTATCAACTGGGCCCAAGTTATCACCAAACGTTCCAAAATGATCCTGGAACTTTCCCCTCTTTCAGGAGGAGATATTTCGTCCCTGCAAAGGATCATTGATTGGGTGCCCTTCCAGTACAGAAGGCAGGACTCACCCTTAGTCGTTCAAAGAGTTCTGCCAATTTGAGGAAACTCCTAGGAGGCAGTGGGGGAGAGTTAGGGCAGGGGTCTTGAGAGGGTGTTGCTTAAAGCCTCCCTGCCCTTAGTGCTCCTGTCCCTAATGCCCTGTAGTGGGGAAATCTCCCTCTGCTCTTTACCAAATCCCAGCAGGAACTTCACCTCCCACCTGCAGCTGATGGTACATTTCCATAGTGACTCCTCATGGGCAGACACAGTATTACAGGCATAGAGAGAGGCGGGGGTGGGGGGCGGAAGGGCAGGAGGGGTGAGAGGGAGTCCTCACGTCTTTAGCTGGTTGACTTCTTGTGTTCCCAGACTATTCAGTGCAGCAGAGATAGGGATATAATCATCTGCCAGGCCTGCTGGGGAACAGCCCTCCATCAGAACCCCTTGGTCTGCACATCAAGCCCCACCCCCGGTGTTTGTGTCATGGAGAGACACAGGGCATTTCTTGCTCTTTTCCCTCCCCACAGGGAGTAGGAATGCTGAGTAGGAATGCCGGGGAGAAGGGGCAGGGAACCCAGGGCCCCTTGGGCCCAGCGTACACTTGTGGGAGTGCATGACACGGTCTGCCCGCAGGCAGGCGTCCCGGATGCGGGTGTGGTACTCCAGCAGGAAGGTCCTCTCATGCTCAAAGAAGTCATCCACCTCCTAAGGGAGCCAGACAGGAGCCACTTACACTGAGTCAGCAGGGACATGGTGGCCATGGACATGCAGGAATGGCACAATTTCCCTCTAGGCCATGCCCCACCAGTGGTTTCCCTCCCACGGCCACCCTGGGCCTCAATGTTTGCTGTGGACTTGAGGCCCTGGGTTGAATCCACAGAGGGGTCCCAAGGGTCACCTTTAGCCCTGACATGCTGGTGATAAGGGCTTCATCTGCAGACTTCACAATATTCCTCAGAAAACCCCCAAGAAGCTCCTTCCTGTTCTTTCCTCGGACACTCAGCTGAAGCACACGGAGAGAGTATGGTGTTGGGGTGGGCATTCGCACCTCCCACCCCAGGCTCATGTCACTCATGGAGCTGATGAGACAGAGGCTTGAGCCCACCTAGTGCCCTGCCCCCTACCCCCAAGGGTGACCCAAGGGTGTGCTCTGGCCCAGCTCACATCCTGTCCATATTCCAAAAAGACAAAGAAGTTGTGGTCTCGACGCAGGGTAGGGTGGGCTGCCAGGCGCTGCAGAAAGACCTCATGCATTGCAACTGTCTTCTTAAAGATAGCCAGGTACTCCCTGCAGGAAATGGCAGGCAGCTCATGGGCCCTCCTTGGCTCTGATTATCCTGCCCCCTTCCCCTCAGAAGCCCTGAGGTCAGAGGTCAGGGTCTCTAACCATAGGTGATGAAATCCTGGGACTCGCAGGCGGGGGGGTGGGCTTGGAGCTTCATCATAGACAAGGAAAGGAAGTAGCACTCACGCTTCCAGCTCCTGCTTCATTTTGGCAAACTCTTCCCGCGTGATGGAGCTGTCCCCCTCACCCAACTTCTGCAGCTTTTCCCTTGAAGCCTCAAAGTCTGGCCTTGGAGGGGCTGGGGGGATCTGCTCAAAGGAGGGACAGAGCTGGCAGGCCTCTTGTTGCTGAGAAGGCCATCACCCACACCCAGAAGTGTCGCCCAGCCTTCCATCCCCACCCAAGCACCCTGGCCTGCCCCTCACAGCCCCAGCCCACCCAGCCCTTCCTCACGATGAGGCCGGCGTACTCCTCATTTTCCACGTAGGCGTCATGGAGCCAGATGAACTCCTCATGCTGTCGCACGACTGAGAACTCCGTCTGGGCGAAGTGAGGGAGGCAGCTCTGGAAGCCGGGAAGCCTGTCTGAGGTATCTCTCCTCCCCTCCCAAACCCTGCACCTGCCAAGCATCCTGGGCACCCACTTTGGGGCTTCCCCAGTCCCACATCCCAGGTGAGGCCCAAGGTGGGCCTTGGTGACTCAGGTGTCCATGATTTCTGTAAGGATGATGGACAGGGCATGGCTAGGACTCAGCAAACAATCGATGCTTGCTTTCTCGGAGAGGCAGGGGGCAGGAGTCAGGTTGAGGAACAGGGCTCAAAGTTGATGTTGGCATCTGCCCCCCATCCCCCAGGCAAGCAAGGCTGGGGGAAGCAGGCTCCTCAAGCTCCTGAAGCCTCCCGAGGCAGCCTCCTGAACTGTCCTCTCGTTCCCCTGGCAGCCTCACCTTGGTTTGAACGGTGAATTTCACCTTGTCCCGCTCGCTCACTGCATCAGAGATCTCCACCTGTAAGGAGCTGTCTCCCTGCAGGTCCACTGATACGGAGGAGGGCTGTCAAGGAGGGGAGGTCTCTGACATGACTGACCACAGCCCCTGACCGCATCCTCACCGCAGACTTCAGGTCCTCCTGCAAAGCCCACCTCAGCAACATTGCTTCTTCAATGCCCTGGGGTCACCAGCTACCCCTAGAGGGATCCTGATAAGTCACTGCTCAGGGCTTTACAATTACTACAACACTTTCCCACATTTCCATCCTCAGAAGCAGGCCGACTTCTCCCCGCTTTATAGATATGGAAACTGAGACCACCAGAGAGGTGAGATAAGTTGTCCAAAATCCCACAGCTGCAAAGTGGCGGGGCCAGATTTGAACCCAGTTTCTCAAATTCCAAACCCCAAGTACTTTCTCAGCTACCAGCTCACCTCTTCCCCAGCTGGTTACTTCAGGCACCTTTTCACCAGGGCCCAGAGTGAGCTAGATAAGAAGCTCTCACCCCTTTTGAGGGGTTCTTGAAACCATTCTATTCACCTCATTTAGTGCCAAGAGGCATTGGCTTGTGGGCAAAGCACATGCGTTTCTCTAAGTGAAAAGATCCGTGAGGCACCAAACTACGAGCTCATCCTTGCATTGAGCTTTTCAACACGGTTATTGAACACCTACTCTGTCTATACCACTGTGCCAAGTGAAGGGAAGAAGCCACTGTACCTTCAAACGTTCTCACCAATATATAAACTGGCACCTGCCCACGGCTCACTTCCCCTCACTCTCTCTCACAGGCTCTGGCACACATTTGGCACAACTATGGACAACTATTCTGACTTCTGTCACCACAGATTATTTTTACCTGGACTTAAAACTTCATGGGAGTGCAATTACACAGTCTATATGCTCTTGTGTCCGTGGTCTTTAGTGAGACCCATCTATGTTGTTGAGTGCAGCAGGAATTCTCTTTCATTGCTATGTAGTATTCCATATGAATGCATCATAGCTTATGTATCTATTCTACTGTTGGTAGTCATTTAGATTATTTCAAGATTGGCCTATTATGGATAAAGCTGCTGTGAACATTCTTGCATATGTCTTTTATAGGGTAGGCATGTGTTTAAATGCTTTTGTAGACACTGCCAGTTTTTCAAGGTGATTGTAAAAATTTATACTCCTGCCAGCATTGTATGAAAATTCCAGTTGCACCACATCCTTGCCAGTACTGAGAGTTGTTAGTCCTTTTTATGTTAGCCATACTGGTGGAGGCATGGTAATTGAGCATTGTAGCTTTAACTTGTATTCCCTGGTGAGGAATGATGTTGAACACCATTTTATGTATCTATTGCCCACTTGGAGATCTTTTGTAAAGTGCCTATTCAAGTCTTTTCCTCCTCCCTTCCCCTCCCCTCCTCTTTTAAAATTCAGATCGTCTTTTTCTTACTGATTTGTAAGGACTCTTTATATACCCTGGAGACAAGTCCTTTGTCAGTTATATCTGTTGCCAATATCTCCTACTCTTTGGGTTGCCTTTTCACTCTTTTAATGACCTATAATTTTACAAGCTCCAATATGTCAGTCTTGTCTTTTGTGATTAAGGATTTTTGTGTACTCCTGAAGAAAATTTTGCCTACCTCCAGGTCATGAAGATATTCTATTTTTTTTTCTTCTAGAAATTAATAGTTTAAGCTTTTATATTTAGGTCTATGATCCACCTTCACTTCATTTTGTAAACAGTGTAAGGTATAGGTTATGACTCATTTTTGCCATATAATAGCCAGTTATTTTAGCACTATTTGTTTAAAAAAGACTATCTTTTGAGTATTGATTTGCTTTGGTGCACATCTTGATAGAAAATAAATTGACTTCGTAAGTGTTAGCAATTCTGTACTATCTTTCCTCTTCCACTGATCTATATGTTTGTATTTTTGATATATCACACTGTCTTGATTGCTATAATTGACAAACTTGAAATCAGATAGAATTAACAACTTTGTTCTTTTTTTTTTTAAAGATTTTATTTATTTATTTGAGAGAGAGAATGAGAGATAGAGAGCACGAGAGGGAAGAGGGTCAGAGGGAGAAGCAGACTCCCTGCTGAGCAGGGAGCCCGATGTGGGACTCGATCCCAGGACTCCAGGATCATGACCTGAGCGGAAGGCAGTCGCTTAACCAACTGAGCCACCCAGGCGCCCAACAACTTTGTTCTTTTTCAAAATCATTTCGGCTATTTAGATCTTTGCATTTCTGTATAAATTGTAGACTCAGCTTGTTAATTTACACCCAAAACACTTGCTGGGATTTTGATTGAGATTAAATTGGATCTATAGATCAATTTGGGAAGGAAGACATTTTTACAATTTTGAATCTTCCAATCCATCAACATGAAATATCTTTCCAATTATTTAGATCTTCTTTAATGTTTCTCAGTAAATGTTTTGTAGTGTTCTCTGTAAAGCTTTTGCACGTCTTTGTTAGATTTATTCCTAAGTATTTTGTGATTTTTTATTGTTGTTGCTATTTGAAATATTTTTAAAAATTTCATTCCCTAGTTATTTGTTGCTAGTATGTAGAAACACACAATTGATTTTTATATATTTACTTTGTGTCCACGAACTGTGCTATATTTACTTACTACTTTTTTTTTAAGATTTTATTTATTTATTTGAGAGAGAGAGAATGAGAGAAAGAGAGCACATGAGAGGGGGTAGGGTCAGAGGGAGAAGCAGACTCCCTGCCGAGCAGGGAGCCCAATGCAGGACTCGATCCAAGGACTCCAGGATCATGACCTGACCCAAAGACAGTTGCTTAACCAACTGAGCCACCCAGGCGCCCTTTACTTACTACTTTTAATAGTTTGTAGATTATTTTGGATTTCTTCCATATACAATCCTATAATATAAAATAATAACAGTTTTAGTTTTTCCTTTCCAACCTTTATACCTTTTACTTTTTCTTGCCTTATTGCACTTGCTAGAACCTCTAGCACAATGCAGAAGTGGTGACATGGTGAAAAAGGAAATCCTTGTCCCTGATCTCAGAGGGAATGCATTCAAAATGTAATCCTAAAGATGATTAATTCTGAATCAGATTAATGAGACTCCCTTCTATGCCTAGTTTGGTAAGAGTGTTGATTTTTATCAATGTTCCCTCCATTTATTGAGATATCAAATGGGTTTTCCTGTTATTCTGTAATGTCCCAAATTTCACTGATAGATTTTCAAATACTGAACCACCCTGCATTCCTGGAATAAGGCCTTCATCATGAAGTATTATCTTTTTGTTTTTTAGTTTTTATTTTTTTAAAGGATTTATTTATTTATTTACTTGAGAGAGAGACAATGAGCATGCAAGCAAGTGATCAGGCGGTGGGGGGCAGAGAGAGAGGGACAAGCAGACTGCGCTGAGTGTGGAGCCCAATTCAGGGCTCAATGCCACCACCCTGAGATCATGACCTAAGCTGAAATCAAGAGTTGGACGCTTAACCAACTGACCTACCCAGGTGCCCTGAAGTATTATCTTTTTATATATTGCTTATTCAACTTGATAATATTTTATTTGTGATTTTTCCATTTACGTTCACAAGAGAGATTAACTTGTGTTTTTTCCTTTCTTTTAATGTTTTTGACAGGATATTTTGTGGTAAAATATGCATATCGCAAAATTTACCATTTTAACTATTTTAAAGTGTACAGTTTATTGATATTAAGTATATTCACACTGTTGTGCAACCATCACCATCATCTACCTCCTCTTGACAGGTTTTTGTATCAAGGTTATATTGTCCTCCGAAAATAAGTTGGAATTGTGCCTTCTATTTCTGTTTTTGGAATAATTTATATGAGAATGGTATTAGTTTTCCTTTAATGCTTCAAAGAATTCACATGTGAAATTATATTGCTTAGAGAGGTATTTTTGGAAAAGTTTTTAATTATAGATTTACTTCCTTTAATAGACATAGGACTATTGAGATTTTCTACTTCTTATTTCAGGTTTGGTAAGTTGCATTTTTCAAGTAGTTTGTCCATTTTGTTTAAATTCTGTCATTTGTTGGCATAAGCTTGTTCTTAAATTCTTTTATTTTTATTTATTTATTAATATTTTATTTATTTATTTGAGAGAGAGAGAGAAAGCATGAGCGGGGGGAGGAGCAGAAGCTAATGGAGAAGCAGAATCCCCACTGAGCAGGGAGCCCGATGTGGGGCTCAATCCCAGCACCCAGGATCATGACCTGAGCCAAAGGCAGACACCTAACCGACTGAGCCACCCAGGCGCCCCTCTTATTATCTTTTTTTTTTTAAAGATTTTATTTATTTATTTGAGAGAGAGGATGAGAGAGAGAGAGAGAAAGCACATGAGACGGGGGGAGGGTCAGAGGGAGAAGTAGACTCCCTGCCGAGCAGGGAGCCCAATGCTGGACTCGATCCAGGGACTCCAGGATCATGACCTGAGCCAAAGGCAGTCGCTTAACCAACTGAGCCACCCAGGCTCCCATCTTTTTTTTTTTTTTTTAAAGATTTTATTTATTTATTTGAGAGAGAGAGCATGAGGGGGGAGGGTTAGAGGGAGAAGCAGACCCCTGCTAAGCAGGGAGCCTGATGTGGGTTGATCCCAGGACTCCAGGATCATGACCTGAGCCGAAGGCAGTCATTTAACCAACTGAGCCACCCAGGCCCCCTCTCTTAATATCTCTTTAATGACTGAAACATCTCTATCAACATGCACTTTCTCATTCTTGATATTGGTAATTAATATTTTCTCCCTTCCTCGCTCTCAGTCTCCCTCTTGCTCTCTCTTTCTCTCTTTTATCAGTCTTGCTAGATGCTTATCAATTTTTTAGTATTTTCAAAAAACTATTTTGGGCATTCTTGAATTTCTATATTTGTATATTTACCTTCTATTAATTGATTTCTGCTCTTTATTATTTCCTTCCTTTTACTTTCTTGGGGTTTAAATTGTTCTTCTTTTTCTAGTTTCTTGAGATTGAAATGTAGATCACTGGGGCCCCTGGGTGGCTCAGTTGTTTAAGCATCTGCCTTCAGCTCAGGTCCTGGGGTCCTGGGATGGAGTCCCACATTGGGCTCCTTGCTCAGTGGGGAGCCTGCTTCTCACTCTACCTGCCACTCCCCCTGCTTGTGCTCTCTCTTTGACAAATAAACAAATAAAATCTTTAAAAAACAAAACAAAAAAGAAATGTGGATCACTGAATTTTTCAACCTTTCTTCTTTTCTGAAATATGCATTTGGAGGTGTAAGTTTCCCCCTGGGTACTTCTTTAGCTGCATCTCCAGTTTTGACATATATTTTCAAAATCATTTCTTTAATTTCTAATTTTCATTGTAATTTCTTATTTGACCTATGAATTACTTAGAAGCATGTTGCTTACTTTCCAAATATTTTGGAATCTAGTTATCTTTTTGTTTTGATTCCCTGTTAATTCTAGTGGGACAGAGATCTCATTCTATGATTTCAATGTTTCAAAACTTGTTGATACTTGCATTATAGCCCAACATATAATGTATTTTGGTAAATGTTTCAAGTGCACTTGAAAAGAATGTGTTTCCTGCAGTTGTTGGGTACAGAGCTCTAATTAAACCAATTAGATCAAGTTGATTAATCATGGTATTTTATTTATTTTATTTATTTATTTGACAGAGAGAGAGAGAGCAGAGCGGTAGGCAGAGGAAGAGGGAGAAGCAGGCTCCCCACTGAGCAAGGAGCCCGTTGTGGGGCTCAATCCCAGGACCCTGGGATCATGACCTGAGTTGAAGGCAGACGCTTAACCGAAAGAGCCACCCAGGCACCCCTAATCATGGTATTTTAAATCTTCAAAATCCTTACTTGATTTTTTTTGGGGGGGGGACTTGTTGAGAGAGTGTGTTAAACCTCTAATTGTGAGTTTGTCTTTTTCTCCTTTTAATTCTGTAATCTTTTACTTTGCATATTTTGAAATGATGCTATTCATTGCATATAAATTTAGGACTGTTTTCTCTTCCTGTTGAATTGACTCTTTAATCATTATAAAATGTCCCTCTTTATTTCTAGTAATACTTCTTGTCTTACAGTCTACTTTGTCTGAAATTAATATAGCTATGCCATCATTCTTTTGGTTAGCATTCCTTTTGTGTCCTTACAGTTAAAATATGTCTCTTAAAAAAAAAAAGGATTTATTTATTTATTTTTTTTAGAGAGAGTATACGTGTGTGTGTTGCGGGGGAGAGAGAGAGAGAGAATGAGAGGCGGGGGGTGGTGCACGGGAGAGGAGAGAGAATCTCAAACAGACTCCTTGCTGAGCATGGAGCTCTAAGGGGCTCCATCCCATGATCCCTGAGATCAAGACCTGAGCTGAGACCAAGATTCTGACACCTAACCAACTGAGCCACCCAGTATGTGTCGTTTGACAGAATATAGTTGTCTTTTAAAAATCCAATCTGAGGGGCGCCTGGGTGGCTCAGTTGGTTAGGTGTCAGAATCTTGGTCTCAGCTCCGGTCTTGATCTGGGGTTGTGAGTTCAAGCGCCACGTTGGGCTCCATGCTGGGCTCCATACTGGGCATGAAGCCTACTTAAAAAAAATCCAATCTGAAAAAAAAATCCAGTCTCAATTTTTTTTTAAGTAACCTTACACTCAAGGTGGGGCTCAAAGTCTCAACCCTGAGATCAAGAGTTGCATGTTCTACCAACTGAGCCACCCAGGCCCCCCTGAATATGTTTTTAATTGGAGGGTTTGGTCTATTCATAATTACTATAATTACTGACATAAGCTATAAACCTACCATCTTGCTTTTTATTTTTTTTCTTTTTCTCATCTGTTTTTTTTTGTTGCTTTATTCTTTTTCCCTTGCCTTTTGTTAGATTAGTCAAGTATTTTTATATTATTTCATTTCCTCTTCTATTATATTTTTATTTACATCTTCATTTAGTATTCTTTTCATTTCTTTCTATTTAAAGGAGAATCTTGGAGAAGGCGATGCTTACTCTAGAGGACAGGCTCTAATACTGGACTTTGAGAGAGTCTGGCACCTACAAAGTTTGGGAATGGACCCATCAGTTTTATAGCCCAGTGTACATCCCATATGATAACAGTAACAACAACAACAACAAAAGAGCTAACACATACTTGAGCTTCCTATATGCCAGGTACTGACCTAAGCATTTTACATACATATATTAACTGATTTAGCCATGAATATGAACATAAACATTGAAACAGATATTTTCTGCTCTATACTTTGTATCTCTCAGCCCCTCTCAACTCTCCAAACTCTTCACTTGGCTTCTCTGAAATCCCCAGGGCAGCCTTCCCCTTTGTCCAACTGCAACCCCCCCAACACACACAATCTGGCTCATTGGTACAAGGGGCCCCTCACTCTCCTGTCTCCCTCCTGCTACCTTAGTATCTCTGCTCTAACCTGTACTGTTTGGTAACTGCTTGAGAGAGATGGAACTTCAAGGATGGACCACAGCTACTCCATCCTTGTCCTCAGCCACAGCCCACTATGCACATGCCTCCAATGCTCAAAAGTGTGCACCTCTGTAAGCCCAGTGATGCTCAATAACTATTTGTTGAATGAAATCAAGAGGAAAGAGTGAAGAATTAATGATCTTATGATTATATGAACACAGGTGCACAAATGAAGCCATTAATGCTTAACTGGATTCCTCCCCCCATGGCAAAGGAGAAGGGTACTCCATCCTCTTCTCAATCCCTAACATCCCTCCTTCCTCTTCTTCCCTATTAGGCCAGAATCGTAAGTTGGTCCTGGGCAGGGGAGGAGTGGCAGTGACAGGTCCCTTTCCATCTGTCAGGGCAAAGGTAAATCCTGCCTCCTTTGGCATCCTCACCAAGCCTCATGCAGGTGCCACAGAGGCGCCCCACCCCTCTACCCCCTTGCTCAGGTCTCTCTAGCTCACGCGTGCGCGCGAACACACGCACACACGCCCCACTCCCTGATTGGGCATCACCGGGTATCATGGAGTGAGGTGAAGGTTGGGAGGGGGTTTGCATCCTTTCTTTACCTTGCTCTCCTTCCCAGTCTCTTGACGCCCCTCCATCACCCTTCTTCTTGGCTGCAGCACACAAGTATTCCGCGGCGGGCCAGTGCCCGCGCGCTCCCGCAGCTTCGTGCCCGGTAACTCGCCCGAGGCACGCGACCCTACCAGCTGACGGAGACACTCTCCCCTCCCTGCTAGGAGTCACCTGGAATCAGGCGTGGTTCCCACCCGTTCCTTCGCAGCTGCGCCTTTTGATTGGGTACCGGGTTCACCGTGAGCGACACCATTGGCTGCAACGCCTGTCGTTCCTTTGCTTGGCCCCAGCTTTTAAGGGGAAGCGCGTAACCCAGGGCCGGGAACGGGCGACAGTATGGGGGCTGGGGTCGGGGGTTCTGGGGTTACTGAGGTCTCGAGCCACGTCAGCCCCCGCCCCCAGGCTGGCAGTCTGTCGCCTGCCGCAGCTCCGGGCGGTGCCTTCCAACCGCCTCGCGCGGTCTGCGCGTGCGCACTAGCCAGGTCGCGCGCCCTCCAGGCGGTGGGCGAGGCGGCGGGCCAGTGGGCAGGGTGGCAGGGTGGGAGGGTAGGGCGGGGTGGGGAATGGGGAGGAGGGGTGGGATGGTGGACCAGGGATAAGGGTTAGGGTCAGCGTCTGTGGAGAAAGGGGTTCCGTTAGAATTTTCGCTCTGGGGCATGAGGGATCTGCGGGGTAAGGCGCACAGAGCCGTGAGGAGACGCCGTAAGGCCCGCGGCCAGGGCGCCCGAGGCCAGGCCCGGGTCCACGGGTGGTCGCACCTGGACCCGGGAAGCAGAGGGGCACAGATGCTGCGAGAAAAATTGTGGGTGCCCTGGAACGGGCTCATTGTGATCGGGAAGAGAATGGATCTCCTGGGTAGAAATACACAAAAGCCTAGGATGTGCGACCCAAAGCTTGACTCTGAGTACTGGGGACGAGAAGATGTGGAAAAAATGGTCTTGAAAGCGAAGTCAGGCCAAAGTCAGGAAAGGATGGATGTGAAGCTACTGCACAGTGTAGCAAATGCATTACGGACTTCAGCAGGTTTGGGGGAAAACAGCCCAAAGCAGATGGGGGGAAAGCAAGAAATTAGAGGCAAAATAGGCGCTGAATCCGAGAGTGCACGGACTACAGCAGGGTCTAGGAAGGGGTCTGGCTTTAAAGAGAGGTTGAAATTTACTGGAATGGGGACCAGAGGAGAGGACTTGAGATCCAGACCACATACACTAGGGCAGAATGAGGAGGAGCTGAGGTCGAGTGGAGAGGAGCTGAGGTCGAGTGGAGAGCAGCTGAGGTCGAGTGGAGAGCAGCTGAGTGGAGAGAAGCTGAGATCAAGTGGAGAGAAGCTGAGATCAAGTGGAGAGAAGCTGAGATCAAGTGGAGAAAAGCTGAGGTCAAGTAGAGAAAAGCTGAGGTCAAGTGGAGAGAAGCTGACATCAAGTGGTGAGAAGCTGAGTCTGAGTGAAGAGAACCTGAGGTCAAGTGGAGAGAAAGAGGGATCCAGGGGAGAGAAGCCGGAAAGTAGTGGAGAGGATTTGAGATCCACTGGAGATAAACTGCAGTCAAGTGCAGAGAAGCTAGAGGGTTCGGGAATGGAGAGCATAACTGAAGAGACAACTGAGAGAATGGTAGAAGTTACTGGTGATGAAAAATGGATTACAGTTCCTGGTGCTGAGATGGAAAATCGTTTTGAAAAGGCGGAAGGAAGTGACGGAGAGCTGGAAGGGACTGAGGAAGCAATGGGAGTTGAGGATGTCTTGGGTGGAGTGAATGATATTGCTGATGAATCTGCTTCTATGGAAGAGAAAGAGGTTATAGATGAAGGTAACGGTGAATGAGGCAGATGAAGGACTGAAGCTAATGAAGGAAAGAGAGTCAGATAGAGGGTGTTGCCAGTCAAGGAGGAGAAATTAGAGCCAAGCAGAGCATTACTGACCCTGAAGAGGTAAATATGAGAGAGGTAAGGAGAGCATGGGGATGAAGAATTTGTAAGGATGAAGGTGGAGGCTAGGGCCAAAGGACATGAAGAAGAATGAGAAGGAGGGAAATGGGAACATTTTGAGGAGATAGAAAGGATCTGATAAGGTCTTGCTATGTCGAGGAAAGGTGGAGATTTTTTTCTTGGAGAAGAGCTGTGACTGAAGGGCTTGTTGGGAAATGTTTGAGAAATGGATTTGGGAGGAGCTAGAGGATTTAGTTTAATGTGTGGTTGGTTTATAAGATAGAGAAGAATGCATAGTGAGAAAAATGGGGAATTACAGCAGGATAAAGGGTGGATAATGAAGGTTGTGAAGGAAGATGCAAGCTGGAGCGAGGAAGGAAAACTTCTGAGAGGATCCTGAAGAGGCATGAGGGGCTCCAAAGTGACACAAGCAAGAGAAAAGAAAGAAGTGAAGAAAAAAAGTAAGAAGTCAAATCCCATCATAATGATTATGTTTGTTGGGTTTTGGGGTTTTAAAGTTATTTCCTTTACTCTCTCTGTACGCCCCTCTCCCATGTAAGCTAATTTTACAATCGAATGGGACAGGCCTCTCGTGGGGCCCTATACATCTGGACCAAGCCCATCCTCATGGATCTATCCTCTAACTAGCCTCCAAATGTAGCTGGAATAATGCTGGGCTCGCTTCACCATGATCACCATTTCCGTGGGTTTCCCTCACCTCCACACATCAAATTTGAGTTGCTCAGACTTGATATGAAGATACCTCAACTGTTTGTGTTATTACTGTTTCCATCTTTGACTTGGTTATTCATCTAGTCACGTGGACTTTTCCCCTTATGTCAGTCTCCTTTGGGGCTTTCTCCTATGACTTCCATATGCCATCCATCATCTACTCTCATCCCAGGGAAGAGAGAAGACTCCCTGAGTGCCTACTGTCAAGACATCAGCGTCAAAACTTAGGCTCTTAGATCCTGTTTGTCTCTTCGATAGGGATATAAGAGGTAGAAAAAAAACAGCCATGGATGGTTTGGATGAAAGAAATATTTCACCCTTTTCCCTCCATATACCTTTTTTTTGGGAGGGGAGAGAGAGTGGCAGTAGGGGGCAGAGAGAGAGGGAGAGAATCTTCAGCAGGCTTCACACCCAGTGTGGAGCCCATTGTAGTGCTTGATCTCACGACCCTGAGATCATGACTTGAGCTGAAACCAAGAGTCAGACACTCAACCGACCAAGCCACCCAGGTGCCCCTCCCCCATGTACTTTTTAAACTCCATAATATTGGGGCGCCTGGGTGGCTCAGTCAGTTAAGTGTCTGCCTTCAGCTCGGGTCATGATCCCAGGCTTCTGGGATGGAGCCCCACATCGGGCTCTCTACTCAGTGGGGAGCCTGCTTCTTCCTCTCCCTCTGTAGCTCTCCCTGTTTGTGTTCTCTCTCTCTCTGTCAAATAAATAAATGAAATCTTTAAAAAAAGCCTGTAATATTTCTGAGGAGTAGAAACTTCGTCATATCATAAATATCATGACACAAATTTATTATAGGCTCATGTTTTTTAGTTGTTTTATACATACCCTTTGCTGATTTTCCCCAAAGCCTCCAAAAGATCTGTAAACCCCATGCCATATTTTTTGTTCCTGTAGTCAGACCTAATGATAATTCACCAATTTCATTTTTTTCCCTGGCAATTTCCTTTTTTGAGTCCTTTATCCTCTGAGTCTGATGTAGAGTGGCTGTGTTCTAGGCTTGCCCCATTGCTGCTCTCCTGGGCTTCTTAACACTTCTTTCTGTTTCTCTGTGTTGGATCTCCTACTGCCTGGATCTTAGATCTTCTCCCTCTTTCTTGTTTTACAGCCTCATTTTGGCCAACCACATCATCTAATAGCTTCCAGAGAAAGAGACCATGGGAGGTAAACTTTGTGACAGCTTATCTGCCTGAAAATATTGATTCTTCTCTCATATTTGATGGATTTATTGCAAGTCAAAGAGGATAAATTAGAGCTAAGCATAACATTATTGACTTTGAAGGGGTAAATATGAGAGAGGAAGGGAGAGCATCTGAGTCTGCGAGGAGGGAATGGGGATGAAGAGCTACGAGGCTCGAGGTTGGAAATATTTTTCCCTTAGAATTGTAAAGGCAGGGGCGCCGGGGTGGCTCAGTCGGTTAAGCGTCAGCCTTTGGCTCAGGTCATGATCCCAGGGTCCTGGGATCGAGCCCCGCTTTGGGCTCCCTGCTCAGCAGGGAGCCTGCTTCTCCCTCTCTCTCTGCCTACTTGTGCTCTCTCTGTCAAATAAATAAAATCTTTAAAAAAATTGTAAAGGCATTGCCCCACTCTTTTCTAACTTCTGAGTGTTGCTGTTTATAATTGCAGTTTTGTTCTTAAAATTTTTTTTTTTATTCTGTGGATATGACCTATATAAATTACTTGTTTTCTACCACTCTAATGGCTCACCCTGCCCTCTCCTTCTGTTTTCTTTCTTTTTTTAAAAGATTTTATTTATTTTATTTAAGATTTTCTTAAGATTTTATTTATCCATTCATGAGAGACAGAGAGAGAGGCAGAGGGAGAAGCAGGCTCCCTGTGGAGCAGGGAGCCCGATGCGGGACTCGGTCCCAGGACCCTGGGATCATGACCTGAGCCGAAGGCAGACGCTTAATGACTGAGCCACCCAGGCGTCTCTCTCCTTCTGTTTTCTATGGTTCTACTACAGGACATTGGAGCCTGAGTTAGAGCTCTTATCTTTTTTCTACTTTTGTCCTTTTTTTATTCTACTCTCTGGACAATTTCATTAATTTTATCTTGTTATCCTTTCTATTGAGTTTCTTTTTTTTAAATTTCAACTCTTGTTCATTGATTGCTTCTTTTTTTTATATATATATAGCACTTCTGTTTTTTGTTTTGTGTACATGTTCTCTTAGATCTCCAAGGAAGAATTTTTCTGTTTTTAGGTGTTCTGCTTTTCATATTATTTCCTCCAAATTCTCCTCCCCCTTTGCTGGTGTGTGTGTATGTGTGTGTGTGTATGTGTGTGTGTGTGTGTGTTGGAGGTTTTCCTAAAATGTTTGATCTTACTCTGTGTGCACAGATGGGGCTTGTTAATTGATGGTCTTCATTCTTTATTGTTTTATATTGTATTTATCCTTTTATTTTCATCTTGATCGGGTTTGGAGATAAACACATGTATGTGTTCAATCTGCCCTGTTTGACAAAAAGTCTTCTCCATTACATTTTGATTGTTTTTAATTGAATTCTTAAGTGTAACCCTGATTTTCATCTTGAAGGTAACTTGTTATTGCCTTCATGAATTTTCCTGTGTGAAAGTGACTAGCACAATGAACAAATAAACCTCAGTGCACAGCAAACTCTACATCAGTTACTATAAACATGCTGTGAGTGCTCTCATCTTTGAAAAAGCACAAAATTTCTCTTGACTCCACATTCCCCTCTAGCTACTGCCCCATTTTTCTTGCTCCCTGTGGTAGGCACAAAAGTGGCCCCCCAAAGATATACTCACTTCCTAGTCCCAGGAACCTCTACATATTACATCATATGGCAGAAGAGTGAATATTACCTTACATGGCAAAAGATGTGATTAAGTTAAAGATCTTGAGAGGAAGAGCTTATTCTGGATAATCTGGGTGAGCCCTAAATGCTATCACAAGCGTCCTTACAGGAGAGAGACAAAGGAGATCAGATATCCAGAAGAGGAGGAGGCCATTTAACCCCAGAGGCAGACTGCAATGATTTGGCCACAAGTCAAGCAGTGTCAGGAGCCACCAGAGGTTGAAAGGGCAAATAATGGATTCTTCCCTAGAGCCTCTGTAGGAACTGTGCACAGCCTTTGCCAATACCTTGATTTTGGATTTTTGGCCTCCAGAACTTTATTCTCCAAAGAGAATAAATTTCTGTTTTTTAAGCCATGCAGTTTGTGGTAATTTGTTACAACAGCTCTAGGAAACTAATACATTCCCTTTACAGCAGAATTGCTCCCAAAAGTAGTCTATGCTTACTTTTTCTGATCTTCTCCATTCCTTTTTATCCAACTTCTTATATTAGACATTTAAAAATATACAGAAAAATTGAAAGTTTAGAGCAATTAACAACTAAATATTCTTTACCTAGATTCAGCAGCTGATAACAGTTTGCCCTATTTGCTTTGTTTGTATGTACTTCAGCACATATCTCCTAAGAATGAAGACATTCTCCTCCATATCCACTACCTAAGTAAATTAAAATCATTTTAATTTAATAAATTAAAAATTAAGAATAATTTCGTAGGGGCGCCTGGGTGGCTCAGTCAGTTAAGCATCTGCCTTCGACTCAGGTCATGATCCCAGGGTCCTGGGATCGAGCCCCACATCGGACTCCCTGCTCAGCGGGGAGCCTGCTTCTCCCTCTCCCGTTCCCCCTGCTTGTGCTCTCCCTTTCTCTCTGTCAAATAAATAAATAAAATCTTGTAAAAAAGGAAAATTCCCTAATATCATTTAATATTCAATATATATTACAAATTCCTTCCGTGTCCCCAGAAGATCTTTTATAACCTTTTTCCTTGGCCCAGCATCTCATCAGGGCTAATATGTTGAATGTGCTTAATTCTTTTTAATCTACATTAATCTCCTCTAATTTTGTTTTTTTCTTTGTTTGCTTGTTTGTTTTTAAAGATTTTATTTATTTATTTGACAGAGAGAGAGAGACAGCGAGAGCAGGAACACAAGCAGGGGGAGTGGGAGAGGGAGAAGCAGGCTTCCCGTCGAGCAGGGAGCCCGATGCGGGGCTCGATCCCAGGACCCTGGGATCATGACCTGACACTTAACAACTGAGCCACCCAGGCGCCCTCTAATTTTGTTTTTAACAAGCTTGATTTTTTTTAAAGAATTCAAGCCTATTTGCTTATAGATGTCCAGTATTTTTTATTTATCTGATTGTGTCTAGATGGTGTCATTTAGTTCATTCTTCTAACCACTGTAGTTTTTATGTACTGGAAGTTGGAGCTATATAGGTCCTGGCTTCTTTCTCTGTAGCACTTATCACCTTCTGACTCCAAGTTTCCCTTCTGTCATTGTTTATTATCTTTTGCCTCTAGAATGGAAGTTCCATGAGGGAATCAATGTGTGCCTGTTGGGTTACCTATTCTAGTCTGCTGAGTAACCAACACATAGTAGGCACTCAGCATGTATTTGTGGTATGAATTAAAGTCACATTCAGTGATTTTACCTGTGTCAATACTATGTAACATCTAATGAGAAATTGCTGTAATAATTTACCCTGTTCCTTAGAATATCTCACCTTTTTTAAAGACTCAAATGCCTGAAAATGTCTTTATTCCATACTTGAGGTTTGTCTAGGTATAGAATTTTCCCTCAGAAGTTTGAAGGCATGCCCCTTTGTTTTCTCCCTTCATGCATGGCCATTGAGAGTCCACCTCCATTTTTATGCTTGAGTCATTGCACTCGACCAGGTGATCTGTGTATGTAGTCTGCCTTCTTCTCCCTCTCTCTGTTATTTTTGCTTATTTATTGGTCCAAAGTTTATAGATCGCTCTCTCTTCCATGCTGTAGGAACTCTGATCCCACAGTTGGACAATAAAGTAGAGATACTGGGTGTGGGCAGAGTTGTAAAGATAAGCTACAGAAGGCTCAAACCTGGTAGTAGGATCTTTTTGGCAAGTGATGATAGCTAACAATTACTGAATTCTTAGAATAATCTGAATACTTTCATAGGTACCATGCTAAGCACTTTTTACATGCTCTCTATCATTTAATCCTTCTAACAACTCTCTGAGACAGGAACTATTACTCTGTCAGCTCTGCTAGCTAGAAACTGCCAGGGCCATGCCCTGAGCCCAGGCAGCCTAATCCCAGAGCTGTACTGGAAACCACTGTGATGAACTGCCCCCTCTGTTTGTATTAGAAAAGCCCCGCTACTCAGTTCCCAGCCTGCCAAAGCCAGGCCTGTAATCCTGCCCAGGGGGTGGGGAATGAGGCTGGGTAACAACCCTTCCATTTATTCAGTGAAGCTTGTTGAATGAGTGCTTCAGTGGCAAGTTTTTATGAACATAAATGCCAAAAAGCAATGATGTTTGTTTTCTTTCCCAGATCTCTGCCTTCCCAAGATCATCTACTCTTAGCCTCCTCTGGTGAATCTCAGAGCACTGAGAAATTGTTGCCTCTTTGATAGGCGGCTTACATAGGCATGAGATCAAGACAGCTGTGTGGGTCTCTCAGATGGCACTGCACAGCATATAAATCATGAACCACATAACCAGACTTGTTCTTGGCTGGATTACATGTTCTCCTGGGATACCAGGATCATTCCACCGAGGCCATGGAAAGAAATAGTGAAGATCAAGACACCATGACAAACGGCAGCCACCTTGTAAGTACAGATATTTTCAATCATCTGGGTAGCTAGAACTTTGTATATGTAATATCCTTTTTTACTAAAATTAACCAAAGTGAACATGTTTGAGGGAATTGAGGACTCCTGAGTGATTTTATGTATCTCCAGTATCCTAGTCTTTCTTTGGACATTCCCAAAGATCCCTGTTTCTTGCAACAGGCTGTGTTAAAAAACGAAATTATTGTTTGGCTTTTGTCAAATGCCCCCTTCACTGGTCCCATTAATTCATTCAGCAAACACCGAACACCTACTGTGTGCCAGTTGGGAATACAACAAATGTGTAGGACCAGGTTCTTGCCCTCGGCCTCCTGTCTCGCGTTGAGACAGACATCTCTACAGGTAGATGTCCGTGCATCGTGAGGGAAGGAGGGTGCTATGTACTAAGTGTGGTGGAACCGCAGCAAAGGGAGGGCCTGGCCATGAGGCTGGCTGGGGGGCAATCAGAGGAGGCTTCCTCATGTTGTTGACCACTTGGGGCTGGACTAGTGAGAAGAATGGTGAGAAGGGGTCAGCACTGGGTGAGGGGGCGGCAAACAAACATTCACAGGAAGGAGAAGATTGCTGACCGTGACAAGGGGCTGCAGAGCTCACTCAGGGGAGGGCGAGGACAGTAGTTTGGGACAGCTGGAGCAGAGAGAGCATTACAGAGACTGGCAGAGTGTGAGCTTGGGGGGGCCTGGGGACAGCCTTGAACGCAGGATTAAGGAAGTTAGCCTTTGCTCTCTAGGTGACAAGGAGAATGACACCACGAAACCTTCGCTTTACATAGTTTACCAAGCTGAGAGGTGGAATCAAGTGGGTGCAGCATGAGGGTGGGTCAGAGTGAGGTGCTGGGTAGGTGCTCAGTAAAGCAGGAGATGGGGTCATTAGATCATTATAATGAACAGTTCAAGATAAAGACGTCAAAGCTATGAACTAAGGCAGAGAACGTGGGAGCAAAAACCAGAGGATAGGTTGTAGAAGGTTTCAGAAGTCCGAGTGGACAGGATTGCTAATTAATTGTGAATAGATGGAGGCGCCCAGCTTACAGATAACAATAGCTGACACGTATCATCCAGGCTTATTCTGTAGTTAGGCACTTTGCATGCAGTATCTTTTTAAATCATAATAGCCCTATGAAAGGGGTTGTATTCCGCTTTTTATAGGAGAGGAAGTTGGAGCCTGGAGTGGTCAGTCGAAGTGACAAGGCAGGTATATAGTGTGGTAGTAGTTAAGATTTGAACCCAAGGGAATCAGCACCCTTAGCTACTACCCAGTAGCGTCAGCAGCTGACTGGATTTTGGTACCAAGTGATTGGGAAGTGAAGTGACCACCTCAGGAAGCAGTTAATGAGTGACAGATGAGGGCCTGGAACCCACTGGAACCAGTTCTTGTCCCCCCACCACCCCGAGTTCACAAACAGGCTGCTGGGCACCACATCAGGTCATAGCCATGTTGTGTTTGGTTTATAGAATATTTTTTAAAAAGTTTTTAGAACTAACTGCTAACATTAAAAAAATCTAGAGATTCACATTAAAACCTGCTGGATTATCTTGAAAAGTGACAAGATCTGGCCATACTGGGCCCATATAACAGCAACCTTTGCTGCATCTTCTGTGTTTCCTTCAGCTGGGGCCTGTGCCCCCCAGTTGGCCAGAGCCCACCAGCCTGGGATCCATGGCCACCTCTGCAGGTACCTGAGTTTGCATCTCTCTGCCACAAGCTGGTCCAGTTTGATGCTAGGCTGTGTTTTGTGCATTTAATCCTGTGTCGAGCCCAGGCTTCCACTGATGGTTAAATACTCTTTTCGAACTTTAGGGAATATAAGATAAAAACAGCAACATGTTTTGTATTGTTTGTTTTTTCCCTTCATACTGTGGGAACTGAGAAAAAATAACTACTGCTCACACTTGAGCGCCCACAAGAGGAGGGTGACATACAGGTCATGCAGGGCGAAGGTGAATGGTCATAGTTCCTGAAGCCAGCACCAGGTAAAAAGAAATATCAATCATACCATGGGAAATGGCAGACATACTGGTAGCTTTACAAATCATGCTGTGACTTTTTTCTGTTTAGTTTGTTCAGTAATTAATTATTTGCTTGAATTTTGGAACTGTGTACTTTAGACGTATTATAAGGAAGATTTTGGGGAAAATATGCATGCACGTATACATGCCTGTGAGATGTGGGTGGGCCATAGCTTACATTCCATCGCTTGGAATTCTCTGCAATTTCAAAATGTTATTTTTTAAGTTTGATGATTTATCACAGATTTGAAAACATGTTTCTGTACACTTAAGTTAACATGCAAGTCACAGGATGGCAAACAGGTTTTTTTTTCTGTATTAAATATTTTGTGACGTCTAAGATGTAATAGTCCCAGTGGCAGTGGTCAGGTTGGACAAATGACGGGTTTTATGCTTGTGTGTTTGTCTGCAGTTTGTAAACTACACTTAGAGACACAGATTCAAACAGGTGCAAGAAATAGAGCTGACATCGGAGCTTCAGGAGTTTTGACTCCTAATCTGTGCTCTTTGTGGGACACCGGAAAAATCGTCCTCATGCCCGGCTGCCCGATTCAGGAACTGGGGGCAAGCAGCTGCTGATGAGCTGCATGAATTTCTCAGAAGCTTCCAGGCACCATTCTCGGGTGGCCAGTGGGTCTCAGAGGTTCACTGTCCATCTCTAAAGGGTCATCTGTACTATCAGACCACAATGACCCAACTCTCAATAGGCCAGCCCTGCAGGCTTTTCCCTGGGACCTAGACATCCACATACAAGGCTCCTATTGCAGATCAACTCAGTCTCTGGAGCCATTTGTACACGGTTAATGCTGGACTCATGACGCCACACTGCTGCTCCTTGGACTTTGACCCCTGCCCAGCACATTCTCCTTCCTCCTTCCCCTTCCCCTCAGAGACTCCCCGCCCCTGACATACACACCCAGGGTGGGACCCCAGCATGTGTTTTAGCCAGTTCTTCAGTTCTTGTCCGTACCACTCAGAAACCATGGTTTCTTATTGATATCATATAGACAAGTGCCTGATACTAGGTACTTAGCCCCGTGCTGACCACCGGGGATACAACAGACAAGTTCCCTTGCTCCTGGGGACAAGATCAGCATGCAGGGATTCATTCGCGAACCAGGTGGCACTTTGTTTCAGTACTAAAACAAGTGGTATTTTGTCTCAGTCGCATTATAATTTCATTTTTGTAGTGTGGCCTAAAAAACCTAGGCTCCCCCCAAAAATCAGCCAAGTACATGGTAAAATTTGACTTATTCATTCATTTAACAAATATTTAGTAAGCACCTGTTATTAGCCAGATGTCAGGACTATAACAGAGGACAAAACTGTCAAATACCCCTATTCTCTTGGACCTTACGCTATCACAGAAGGAGACTGAAAAATTGTATCAATATGTAATCTGAGCTGAGAATTTTGAAGAAAAAGCAAGCAGGGTGAGGGAGAGAGAATGACCCAAGGCAGGGGTAGGGGGCCTGCTCTTTGAGGTAGGGTGGCTAGGAAGGCCTTTCTGATGAGGTGACTCTAAGCAGGGCCCAGCAGGAGATGAGGGAGAAGCAGCAGTTTGGAGGAAGTCCTTCCCGGGGCGGGGTGGGGGGGGAACACAGGGGCAGATCCTCCAAGTGGCCAGTGGCCTCGCCTGTTTGAGAAGGAAGTCACCAGCTGAACTCCTGGACTCCATTTCCTTGTCTGGAGGTCTGCGGGTTTGTTGGGAGGAACGGATGAAATCATTTATAGAAATATTTATGTCCACCATCAAGCACTGTGTAAAAGTTGTCCTCTTTGTATTGACTTTGTCAAATTTTTGTAGCGTGCCTAAACCATCAGGATTATAATTATTATATTACAACTCTGCCCTTTCCTTTTTTTTATTACTGTGGTGAAATTCACATAACATACAATTATCCATTTTAAAGTGTCTACTCTAGTGGCCATCTAGTGCATTCACACTCTTATGCAACTACCACCTCAGTCTAGTTTCAGACTTTTTCATTATCCTACTCCTAAGTTTTTCATATTAGTTTATGTCACCAGTCTCGAAAAAAGATCCGCCCCCCCCCATGTCTGACTTTGTCCTATCTGTTTCTGACTGGCCTTCTCCAGTTCCTATGACTCATCCATGTGTTTATTCAAGAGATATCCAGTATCTACTATGCAGTAGGTACTATGCTAGGTAGGTACTGAGGTCATAACAGTGACAAAGGACACACAGGTTCTTGCATTTAGGGGACTAATAATCTAGTGGGGATTTAGACACTGAATATATAATTACCAGAAAATTAATTTAAATTAGATCAATGCTTGGGACGCCTGGGTGGCTCAGTGGGTTAAACATCTGCCTTTAGGGGCACCTGGGTGGCTCAGGTGTTAAGCATCTGCCTTCGGCTCAGGTCATGATCCCAGGGTCCTGGGATCGAGTCCCACGTTGGGCTCCTTGCTCAGCAGGGAGCCTGTTACTCCCTCTGCCTGCAGCTCCCCCTGCTTGTGCTCTGTCTCTCTCTTTGACAAATAAATAAATAAAATCTTTAAAAAAAAAAAAAAGAAAAATAAATTAGATCAATGCTTACATAAAAAATGCTTTGAAAAGTGTGTTTAAAACATTTGTGGAATTATTTTTTAATTTTTAAAAAGATTTTATTTATTATTTGAGAGAGAGAGTGTGTGAGAGGAAGCAGGGGGACAAGCAGACTCCGCACTGAGCTTGGAGCCCAGTGTGGGGCTCGATCTCAGGACCCTGAGATCATGACCTGAAATCAAGAGTCGGACGCTTAACTGACTGAGCCCACCCAGGCTCCCCAGTATTTGTGGAATTATTAAGGCTACCAGCAATGAGATACCACTAGCTAGTAAAGCTTAGGCTAACACGACTGTATTGTTTTTATAATTGTGTCAGAGACACTGGAAAGAAAGATCACCTCAGGGAAGTGACCTGGATTATGTTAGGGCAGAGAGTGGGAAGGCAGGCTAAAGTAA